AATCCTCTGCACAAAACTCCCCCGAGTACAGGGAGAGCGAGAGCCACCTGCCACTCGGCGTACGTCCTGCAGATAAGGCCCAGCGTGCGCTGGTTTATGAGAGTGTTATTTATCTTCCACGCTGTGTTGCCTTTGGGGTTTTGTTCTTTGGTATCTCATTGTTTGGGAGGATCAGAGCTTTTAAAGGTACATGTTCTGAAAAATTAAAATGTGAGCTTGATGCTGTTAATAAATCAGCTGTCGCAAATTCCCAGAGGTTCAATTTTGAACCTACTTTTTGTTATGAAAGTGGTGGGTTGTTTTTTTTTTTTTAAGCATGTCATTCTAAAACATGCAAATAGGCGGTGATCCCTGCCATGGTGGCTGAATCATTGTTTGACCTCGTTCTTTTTAAACCAGAGGACAAAATCGGTGATTCATGCAGGAGCAGAACCTGCTTGTGCAAAGGTCTGTCCAGCCCCAGGACAAGGCAGGTCGTCTTCAAAGGAGCGCTAAGAGGAACTGTAAATTTGGCAATCAATTATGTTAGTTAGATAAGTAGGGGGTGTGTGTGCGCGTGTTTCTTTTAATCTGTAATGACTCCAGATTCATTGATCACTAGTGACTAGAAGCGGATAGGTCCTTTTTCCGTCTCAACAGAGTTGGTGTGAGTTGATCTTTATTTGAAATTTTTTTTTTTTTTTTCATTCCAGGGAAACACTGGCATTGTAGTGGGCATGTTTCTGGTGTCCTTTGTTGTCCTGGTTGCCCTGGTGACAGTCTTATCTGGAATTGGGGTGTGTGAGAAGTGCAGCATTGGAAGTGGAGGAGTCTACTCCATGATTTCTACTGTCCTTGGAGGTCAAGTAGGGGGGACCATTGGCCTCCTTTATATTTTTGGCCAGGTAATTAAAAAAAAAAAAAAAAAGAGTTATTTAAAAAGCATTAGAAACTTTGCGGTGCAGATATTAATCTTGTGCTTTCCTGCCGCAGGAGGTAATGCTCCAGGTAAGATCTGAGTAATGCTCCAGTATGCTGGATGGCATGGGGGAGCGCGACGGGGAGCATTCAGCCCCGCTCTGCTCCCCAAGAGCAAGCCTGTGCGTGGCAATGCGCTGCCTGGCATGGGTCACAACAGTGGAGGAACTGGGTTTCTGAACAAGCAAACCATGCAGGACAGGCCCTCCCATCCCAAATTACCCCCATTGCCAGGACATGCCCTTGCTGGTGGGAGACTTGACTTAAAGCGAAGTGGGAGAGGCCAGGGTGGCCACCTAAAGCACCGCGAGCGGCTGTGGGCTGGCAGGTTGGCCTTGGCATGCTCCCCGTGCCCTTAGGGACTGGGCAAGCCTTGGCTGCTTCTCTGCGGGAGCCAGCAGAAGTGGAGCTGGTATGGGAGGAGAGCCGGGTAGCAGTAAGGGCCACAGCTAATTGACTTCTTGAGGTCCAAAAGTCACAGTTCTGGGTTTTCTGAAAGGCCCCAAGGAGCCGTCATGGTGATGAAGCACTGAAATACACAAGTAGTAACCATAAAGAATGGAAAAGTAATCTCTTAAACCTGCAGTAACTTAACCCCCTCCCCCCGTAAAGATGTTACGAACAGTATAAAATGTGGTGAGCAGAGAAGCATTTTTATTGAGGTTTTTTTTTAACTGACTGGCTTGCAGCAATCTCTGAAAACCCTAAAAAAAAAACAAACAAAAAACCCAAAAATAATCCCCTCTTCTTTCACTCCAGATTAAAAGCAAGTGTCCGTAAAATACAAAGTGAACTCAGTTACAAGCCAAGATATGGAAATGGGCCACACATGAGAATCCTTCCTGTCATATTTTCCACTCTTGCGCTCCGAGCGGACCCCGTCTGGGAAAGCAATCAGGTTGCAGCCTGTCCTGAGGGTCGTAAAAGCTGGGCTGCGACAGCCCTGGCCCCTGCCTAGGCATCCTGTGTGCACCAGGGGCTGCGGGATGGGAGCTGGCAGCTCGCTTAGGAACGCTTTGCATGCTCCCAAAAGGTGATGCCTTTCCCTTCTCTTTGGCCGTGCTTTCAGCCTGACGTGCTTTGCGCCAGCTGCAGGCTGCTCCCCTGCTACAGGATGCTCACGGAGCGTCGTAACCTCTGTCATGAGGCGAGTCCAGCCAGAAATGGGGGTATTCCCCATTCCCTGGTCTGACTGGGGCAAGTGGGGAATGACTGGCCACGTGCTGCTGATGCCTTGGGAGATGAGAGGTGGCTCAGTGCCCTGGGGCTGCCGCAGAGGTGGGTTCCTGCTGCGTCAACCAAGGTGAGCTGAGACTCGGTTGGGCTTTGCTGTCGTCCTGGGATGCTCCAGAGGAGAGGCTTAATCAGATTACCCTAAACAATGCAGCATGTGTCTGCTAGGTCCTGCGGAGACTAACGCATGTTTGGTCACCGCAGCTCCAACCATGAGGCCGGGGTTTGGTGCTTTTCTTTGCAGTCTCCTTTCCTGGAGTGGTTTGCAGTAAGACCTGTCTGTGCAAGCAGAAGTTTTCCGGGGTCCAGCCCTAAAATCCCAAAGGCAAAGACAGTGGCAGCGATTGTCTGGGCATTGAAAATCAATTATGGTCCTCGCCCAGCGAAGTGCGTGGTTTACGAAGGCTCATAAGGGACTGATTTCTGCACATTTCAGCCTAGAACTCAGTTCTGATTTCAAGACAGGTAGTTCATGAGAAGCCAGCCCATGTCACAGTGCTGCTGGGGCCCTGGCCGTTGTTGTGTGCAGAACAGCGGGGTGTTTGTGGGCACCCAGCCCCTCCATTCTGCTGGTGATGCTCATGGTTCATCAGAGGAAAGGCTTCAAGGAGGCTTGTGGTGCTGAGACTGTCAGAGGCTCGCTCCGCTCTGCTGCCTTCAGAGTGTCCTCGCACATTGCTGTCCTTGGTGTGAAAGGGAAGAAAACTTATTTAGTTAAGAAAACTTAACTTCTTAGAAAATTATGTTGGTCAGGTACAGGGAGTTGGGGTTACGTGATACTGCTTTTGGTCTACAGGGCTTTTCTTCATGTGAGAGGCAAGAACTGCACCTGGTTTTAATGTGTTTATTGGAGTTAGATTCTGTTTGGGGTTTTTTTGGCTTCAGGTCTCAAGTGCAGTTTTTGTGGGTGCCTCAAGCGGAGCGCACAGGGTGTTGTCCTCTGCTAGCTCAGGAGGGATCTGTTTTCCGGAGAGATCCGGCTCCATGGGGCCTTTCAGAAAACCCAGAACTGTGACTTTTGGACCTCAAGAAGTCAATTAGCTGTGGTCCTTACTGCTGCCCAGCTCTCCTCCCATACCAGCTCCACTTCTGCTGGCTCCCGCAGAGAAGCAGGATGTGTGTAGTCCATTCAGTGGTGGTGTAGCCCATGCTAAACACAGGTAAACAAGAATACATCCACATATTTGGGGACTACCTTGCAGAGTCTGAGACTTCTCTGGCGGAGACATTCACGGTGCGGCTGCCAGCGAGGAGCAAGAGAGACTTTTAGGGTGTAGTTCACCCAATCTGTGCTAGGTGTCTGCTTATGATGGAAGTGAATCCTTCTCCAAGATCTCCAAGTTGTAGGTGTCCGAATCTGAACAGGTGAATCCCATGCACCTTGCCTGCTGAAAACCGTGCATGAACCCACAGCTCCTTGGTATGGGTCACTGAACACCCTCAGTGGAGTGGTGTTGGGTCGGTCCAAGTGGGATCTGCAGCGAAGGAGGGGTCTGCTCTGACTCTTGCTGGCTTGGGTGGTGGTTTTCTCCCTTCCAGTCGTGTGGGAGCTGTGCTGTACATCCCTCATCCGTGGACGGGGATGGGGGAGTTTGCAGGAGTCAAGGTCACACCACCTGTGCCGGTGTGCAGCTGTGTGCCCCAACCCGGTTTGCCGGGGATGCCATGCACTGGAAAGGGTTATTGCAGAATGTCAGCTAGTAGGAACCTCTGGAGGCAAATGCCCTGGTATTTAGGATTGCTGCCCCACAGTGGGGTTTGAGGCCTGAACCTGTGCTGTAGAAGTCCTGTCCTGCAGACTCTCAGCCACCCAGGGCAGAGCGCGTGTCCTGCCCTGCAGCAAGACAAACGAGCAGCTTTCCCCGGAGCTCAGGGGGCATGGCTTGCACAATGCGCTCTCCTCAAAAGCGCAGGCTCCGTTCCAGCAGCGAGATGGGGAGCCAGTGAAACATCAGACTTTACATCCAAACTAAACACAGAGTTAAAAATAACCCCTGGGAGGCAACGAAGGGGGAAGCAAACTGCCGTTCTTCAGGCAGGTGTTGAACTGGGACCCTTTTCTTCAGAGAAACAGAAGAAGGGAAGAAACTTAGAGGTTGGCTCATCCTTTTCTCCCTCTGAGAAGCCAGCATGGTTTCTCCTGGAGCATTAATGGACAGTAAATTTTAAAGCCAGTGGAAAGTTGCTGGGCTGCTGGCCCTAGCGCCCAGCCTTCTCTGTTCACCTGGGCAGTAGGTATGCTGCCCTGGCAGCGTGCTGTCTTACAGCAATAAGGTTCAGTCCCTGTAGGCCAGAGTAACATTAAAGATTTTACTGTGACAGCAAATGTCTGTCTGTCTGAGCAGAGACCCCCGCCCAGCCTGGCATGGGGGCTGTGGTTGAGGATCCCTTGCTCTCCCGCAGGGCACTCACAGAGCTCTGTCCTTCAGTGCGTTGCAGGTGCCATGTACATCACTGGCTTTGCGGAGTCCATCGCAGATGTCCTGAGCCTCAGCAACATCTGGGCAGTGCGCGGCATCTCCCTGGCTGTCCTGCTGGGCCTGCTGGGGATCAACCTGGCCGGGGTGAAATGGATCATCAGGCTCCAGCTCCTGCTGCTCTTCCTACTGGCCGTCTCGACGCTGGACTTTGTCATTGGGTCCTTTACACACCTTGATCCAGGTAAAACTGGGGGCTTGTCACACTGTGCTCAGGAGGCATTAATCCCCCGGGGTTTTCTCCTTGGGTATCTTTGTGAAGTTACACATCTGGGTAGAGGTAGTGTTCAGCGCTTCCAGACGTGTCCCCTGTCCTTTGGTACCGATCTTTTAGAGGCAGCCCCTAATTTTGCAAGGAGTAAGTATTTCCAGAGAAGTCCAGTCCATCTTCATGACTGAAGATGCGTTATTAATTTAGGCGTTTAACCTCGGGAATCAGGCTCTCAATGTGTGCGCTTGTTATACTTGTATTGCACTCGGAGGTTTTCTAACAACAGAGAGCGGCTGTGTTTGCAGTCTCTCTTTGTAGCTTTCTGCTGTCTAACTCCGCGTTAAGCACTGTGCCCACGAAAATGGAGGATTGTGCCCTTGCGTTAAGGAGATCTTCTCCCCAGAGACCCCTGAGGTCACTTAGATCCTGGCTGTGGTGAGCTGTGCCACCAGCGCTGGCCCCAGGCTGCACACCACTGGATTTGCTGCCCAGGGCCATGTTAGGGAGCTGGGTGGGCCGGGACAGGTGACTGATGGGGTTTCAAGGAGCCGTGGGTGCAAGTCTCCCCCGTTAACCTTCCCCAACCTGACTTCAGCCTGCAGCGGCAAGGCGGAGGTTTGGGGCTCCCACCTCCAGCCCTGCTTGCACCCTGAGCCCTCTTTGCCTCCCTCCGTCCTCATCCCCCAGAGGTGCTTGCACGTCTCAAGCCGCGGGGAGTTGCGGTGGAAGGGGTCCATGAGTGCCGCAGCAGCCACATCAGCAATAACGAAGTGTAATTAGCTGAGTAAACAGAAGGTGTCACCTTTTTCTTGGCTTCCCCTGTGTCCAGCAGCACCTTAGGGGGTTGCAAGCGACCCGCTAAAGTCAGCTTAAAGGAAAGATCTTCAATTTTGATCTAGTTAGGATTGAGCTGCCAAGTTGGGCAGCAGAAGGTGAGTCACGTAGGTGTCCATAGCACCGATGGCACGGCTGTGTTTTCACACTGCTGCGTTACTTTGTGCTGCTGGTATGGTGTGCAAGGGCGGTGGGGTTGGGGCAGAAGCTGCTGCACCATCAGCTGCTCCTTTCTCGGAGAGAGCCTTGTGGAAAGGTGTTTGCATTTTATATTTAGCATGTAAAAAATGCCCCAAATGAAAGCCGGTAAAAATTACAGCAGACACTTGCAAATGAGAACGAAGTGAGGACAGTTGTGCTTGGTGTGGTGTGTTTTGCAGAGAAAGCAACTGACCTGCTCCAAACAGCTGCATTTCATCGGAAGTTGTTTTCTAAAGGAAATGGGGGGTGGGGGGTGTTACATTTCGGTTGTGCTCGGAGAAGACCTTTAATGTGGACCTAGAGACCTTTCTAATAGTAGAGAGAAAATGAATGCTTGGGGTGAGATCTGATGGTAGGAAAGTGAACATGGGACCAGGAGGAGAGAATTAGAGGAATACAAACGTCAGCAGGAAACATGCCCAAGTTGAGGTCAATGTAGTTGTCTTTGATTTCCTCCACTGCCGAGCACTATGTCATTTTCTTCTGACAGAAAATAGAGAAAGGAAAGGAATGAGGCAGTTGAGCATCGCAGATGCTGCAGTTTAGCTGTGGCTGGCTGAAGAGAGGAGAGTTTCCAGGACATAGAAGAAGGTCGGGCTGATGGTGGCTGGATCCAAGCCCAAAACACCAGCACCCCCGAGCAGTGCTGCCCATATGGTGGGACCTGCGGCCCTAAGGCTGGTTAGGGAGAGCTGTGGGTTTCTTTGCTTTTACAGACAGCTTCTGTGTGAGAGAACGGTTTTGAGTCCAGGCTGAACAGTTGGTTCATCCCAAGTCCTGCATTTCCCCAGCAGGCCTCTGAGTGGTGTGTCAGCACCAACGGTGAGCGCTGGCCTTCAAGAAGCCTTCTGTCTTGCACGCTTTCTGCACGGCATGGATGGATGCTTGTCTCCTGGGTACGATTGCGCCCGTCAGCAAAGCATCCTTCCTGCAAGGCAGCGCAGGAGGCTGCGGGTGGGACGTGCAGGTGTTGGTGAAGCTCCATCCTTGAGAGTTGGCTGATGGCAGTGGCGGGGTGCGGTGCATCTGAGCCCAGCACCTCTGGGGAAGCATTTGAGACCCCTTTGGGGTGGGCAGTCAGCTGATCAGCTCTCTGCAGCCTTCACATGCATGCAGTTGTTTTGGGTTTGGTTCTTCGGCTGCAGCAGTGACTGAGATATGCAGGGCAGCATGCAGGGAGAGCCATGGGAGAGGTAATTTTTGGGGACGGACCTGTGAGCTGGAAAGATTTCAGCTGACATCTTGCCTGGGTTGCTTCCTTGTTTTAGGACAGCTTTATGGGGTCTCAGCTTGCAGCGTCAGGTCTCGGTCTCCGAACCTGTAAAATGGGCCTCGTGCAGTCACCCTGCCTTTCCTGCTCCTACCATGGCAGCCTTTTCCCTCACTTCGCATTTCCAAGTGCTGCACGCATACCAAAGGACTGCGCATCTGCCAAGCAGCAGTTATTTGGATTTAAATGATCTCCAGGAAATGTCCATCTTGAAGGTCTTAAACAACTGCCTTTGTGTGGTTGCGCTGGGTGGAGTCCCCCGCTCTTCTCCCCATTCCCTCAGCTCACACCCAGGCACACACCAAATCGGATATTGTCCAAGCACTCACTCCCTTCCTGTGGTTTGCCTTTATTTTTAGTTTGAGGACGGAGCGTGTTTACACAAAAGGGGGCTTCTCAGCAGGGCTTCCCGCTGCTTTTTCTCTTTCTTCTCTTTTTTTTTTTTTTTTTTTTTTTTTTTTTTTTTTTTTTCTCTTTTCCCTCTATTGCTGTGGCTTGCTCCCGCTCCGAGAGCCAGCCGGGCTCCAGCAGCCTGGAGCTGGGGCTGGAGGTGCTGAGCAGTTCCAGCAGACGGGGAGTGCTCTGGGTCCCTTGTCCAGATGCTGCCGACCCCGCTGAGGCTGCAGGCAGGCCTGCCTGCTCCCTGCCAGGCTGCGGCGTCCCTCTGCCTGGCCCCAAGGGCTTTCGCTCCTTTCCACAGGCTGCCTTGCAGGGTGGGGTGGGACTGGCTGATTTTTTTGGAGTTAATCCTAAATCCTCCCCTTGGCTCCAGCTGGCGCTTCCCCTGGGGACGGGTCACCATCCCAGGCTGGGATCTCGGCCAGGGGTGGGTGGCGAGGAGAGGGGCTCCCCGTGCTGTCTGAAAACCAGCCTCTTCAAGCTGTCTCTGGCTGCTCACCTTAAAATTCAGTCCCACCTCCAGAAATGGAGACCCCTGTGCTCCTTCCTCGGGACGGAAAACATCCATATTCTCTAGGCACAGCTTGCTGTTTTTACCAAACCTAAAGCAGGTGAATTGAAATCAGGCAGTGCTCGACTTCTCGACCCATAACCAAGACCCAGCGCTTGCTGCACAACTGCATGGTAGCAATGCAGGGTTTTCTTGGCTTGCCTACGTTTGCGTTTTAATTCTGGATGTCCATACCTCAAAATCAACCTCAGTTATTTTGGGAGGAGCGGTGAATGTAAAGGAGAGGATGCTCCTCTCCGTGACCAGCTCCTCAGAACAGTATGTGAAACTTTTTGGCCTTTTCACGTCCCAAATGTTAGAGTCATGGAAAAAGAAGATAAGCCCGCAGTTAATGCCCACTCTTATTTTCCTAGCATATCTCTGCTAATTTTTGTGTAGGGTGACTCCCAAATACTCCCTTTCAATTAGGCGCCTGCTTTCCTGTTTTGGCAGTGGCTCTCAGGTGCCCTGTTGAAGCAGAGCAGCTGTGGGAGTGCGCTGAGGGGGGGTACTGGGGGGAGAGCTGGTGTTAATTTGATTGCGCTTTGTTGGGGAGATGAAAGGAATCGCAACATCAGCAAAAGGGGCCCAACAACAGACTCTTAAATGTCTGGGGGGAAGAAAGAAAATAGATTTTATTGGGAATTGAATAATTGGAGGGTGGGGGTCTGACCCCTGGGGACCCCCAGGGCTGGGACTCCCTGTCCTGCAGCAGACGGTGCTACGTGCCCCAGGCTGAGCCCCTTTCCTCCTGGCTGGGGAACCCGGATAGTTCATTTCTCGGGGACACGGGGAATCTTGAAAGGCATGTTGCTGTCAGGGTGCTTCTGCTTGGGATTGTTTTCCATGCAAACCACATCCTTTATGCTACCCTCTTCGGCTTTAGCTTCCTGAAGCTGCTCGTGCAGAGCCCAGAAAACCCATTTATTATCCTTACTTCTTCCTCCTTCGGAGGATTCATCCCCCTCGGGTGTCCTGCGGCTGAGCTGGGGGAGCTGATGTTCTCCCGTGGGTACCGCTGGAGAGGAGCTGTGGGAGAGGAGCTTCGCCTGGGGCTGCTCCAGCAGATGGGGAACCTGCAATTGTTAAAGTGATTTATGTATATAAACACTCTGGTGTTGTAAAGATCCCTCAAACGGTGCCTCAGGGGCTTTGATGGATTGAATTAATTAAACGTATTCCCACATACTTAATACGAAACTGATCAAAGCGTCCTAATCAGGGGCTTTTCCTTGCCTCTGGGTTGTTTTATTTTATTTTTGGGCACAAGGGGTGTGCCCCAATTTCATAAGAGAGGGTGCAGGAAGGATGTGTGTGTCAGAAGATGATCTGCAGCTAATCCCAGAGGCTTTATCCAGGCTGATTGCTGACTTCCTGGACTGAGACACATCTGGAAACTGGCATCAAATTCCAAGTAGAAATCACTGAGCGAACGGCAGCAGAAAAAAAATCCCACTTTGCTACCGAACAAGGTAGACACTGTGGTGAATAAAAGCAGGAGGCTGCTAATACACTCTTTATTTATTAAAAAACGCAGGATTGCTTTCCCCAGGTTTTTCCAATTATAGCGCATTGAATGGCCCTGACATCACTCTTGAGCTCGGGCCAGCCTATTCAACAGTCTGGCGAAGACATTTATTAACTGGTTACCTGCCAATTGTCTGGGCTAGGAGCTGTGGGACAGATGTGTTTTGAAAAGTGATAACATTGTTAGGGCCT